TATATATATTTATTTGGATTGGTTATTTTAAAAATCAAAAAATGAGCGATTTATTTTTGATCCTTTATCTAGATTTATTTTGATCGGATGGTGATTTGATTCTATCCAACTTCAAAAATTCATCATCTCTCTGCCTGAATAGTTTGTGTAGAATAATTGTTTGTGAATATTTTATTTCATTTGTTTATTCACATCAATTAAGTATGTACTCTGTTGCTTTAGCAACAAACACGTCGACCTGTCTAGAATAACGCCGCTAGACACCACATAAATAAAAAAAACCTCTGCTGGCATGAGAGAGAGAAACAAACAAAAAGCATTTCAAGGCTTAAACATTAAAGACTGTAGCTTTATCATAACCCTCAAGCTATTTTTCTATCTAACCTGGTTGACATGAAAAGCAGTGTTAGGCTGATGTGAGGAAAATATCAGAAGCAGATAAGCTGGGATTTTATGACTGTGACTGAAGTTTTTATAATGCAGATACCCATATTGCATTGTATTTTTTCCTAACGGTGAAGCCCAAGGGTTATGATACACAGTCCTGGAGGCCACAGCCGGTGTGTTGACTCCTTGTCGAGCTTTGACTTTTACAGGGCTGGAAATCTTCTGCCTTTGGCTCTATCATGAATCTGATTTAAAAACTAGAGGGCAAAGTACTGACAATCATTGGCACTTATTATTATTTATTTTGCTTTTGTCTTCATTGCTTTTGAAGTAGGCTTACATAAAAGTTTGCAATGTTACCATCTTGGAGATCTCCTTTACTCTCTTTTAATGCAACTTTTGACGATAATCTGGCCTCAATCACGCTGTTGTCAGCGTTTTGTGGCAGATGCAATCTGGACACATCAATATGTCCTCCAGCAGTACAAGTTTTCTATTTTCCCCTATCAATCAGTCCAAGCAGCCTGGCAGTCTCCAGTTCCTTTGTAGTGCTGTTCAATCATAAGCCCAGTATTCTGGTTGAACACACACAAATACACGGAGCCTTTGTGGACTTAATTACACATCATTAGGGCCTGATGTACTGCTTGGGTCTCTTTAGAGCGAGTCACGGCTATTGTGTACTGTGATTTGGCCGAAATGTCAAACTAGATCTTGTGTGGCCTCAAAGGAAAAAGCAAAATAACAAGCAAAAATAAATAACCTTTTGTGTAAATTGCTACATGCACCTTTCTGCCATCCAGTTGCTAAATCTTAATGAATTGCGGCTCATCAATTCTGCTTCATTTGCTGCTCATCTGTATTCACAGTCAGTTGTCACGTACATGTATGTCAGTTTGGACTGCTGTTGTTGCTGTCGCTGAAGTCTGATGCCTTACATATGCTAATATGCAACAGACTGAATCTGTTGTGCAGCTAAAGCATTATTTTGCTGAACTCGGATGCATTTTATAGCCTGTTACATAAATGCATATGTCTTGACTGACACAACTGATTCACAGTGAAACACGATAGTGTCTAGTGTCTTGGTGGGTGTTGGATGTGCTCTAACATGTTGTTTGATGGTGCTTATGCAGTCTTGTTATTTCCTAAAACCACCTGTGTTTATAAAATGGATTAAAGTTCAAATTCAAAAGGTCCAGTGTGGAATTTCTGCACAATTAGTGTCGACAAACCAAATTACAAAATTAATAGTTTTTACAAAGAATTTTCCTGTGTTCCCAAACTTTTCTGTCTATGTACCCAAAAACCCTACGATTAAGAGTTGATATTTATAAAGGCAGAATTGACACGTACATTTGTTCTTATTTTATTACTGACTTTTTACTTGTGTTTTTTTATGAAAATATGTATATAAGCATATTGTATATGCTGTCAATTATAGTTCTTAGAAAGAAAATCGGAATCGGCAAAAATCGGTATCGGCAGATCACACTAACAAAAAAATCTGAATCGGCCAAGAAAATTGCAATTGGTGCATCTCTAATTCTGTTAGGTTAGGTTGTTAGGTTAGTCACTTTGTTTTATGGTATGTTAGTCATTTTAAGTTAGGTTAGTATTTTGTTATATTAGGCTAGTTTGTTTTATTTTATGTTTGGTTAGCAGCTGTTTTATGTTGTTTATCTGTTATATTAGGTTACGTTTGGTTAGTCAATTGGTTTTTTATGTTATAATGTTAGGTTAGTCACTGATTTATTTTTATTTTTTGACTAACCTTACATAACATGAAGTGGCTAACCAGTGACTAACCTAATATAGAATGTCTAACAATAACAAACTTGCGATTTTAATCTTCAAATTATTTTCCTTTTTGAGTGAAAGAAAACTGCAAAAATTGCACATGTTGTTTTGTGTTATTCCCTTTTAATCTAAAATTTTAGGTTAGGTTATGTTGTTCACTTTAAGTTAGTTTAGCCACTTTGTTTTATGTTATGTTAGTCACTTTTAATCTAAAATATTAAGTGAGTTTTATGTTAGTATAAGTTAGATTATCCATTTCTAATTAAAAACAGTCAATACTGTGAGTGATAAACAGACCCATCAAAGTAGAACATATGTTCTGATACAAGTGTCATCCACACAAATTGCACAAATTGCTTTTTCTTTAATGCAAAAAAAGAAAAGAATTACAAGATTAATCATGATTATTTGTTTTAATCTCTTATTTTTATTTATTTTTTCAGTTTAATAGGTTTACAAAACAAAGTCAAGATCTGCGTAGCACCTGAAGTACACATGTCCAGTCTTAGACTGCAGTTACAACAGAAGGTACAGACAGTAAAAGCCCAACTGTTGAACTCGAGGCCTGTTAGCCCAGACTAGTGCTGTGAATCCAGCAGAGGAACGTGTGGAATGAAACCTTTTAAAGTTTACAGCATCAGACCTTTAGTCTCTTCACCCTGAAGTTTTTACTACATTTTTTGAAAATGGAAAAGCTTTTTTCTCAGCCTATTTTTCGCTTATGCTCCCCTCTGTTGCTTCTCTCTCTATCCATATGTTGGCAATCTCCAAGGTCCTTCTTTTTCTCTCTTCCACTTGCTTGTTCCCTCTCTCCCACACCTCACTCGATCATTCTGATTACATCCAAAGGGAGCACCAAGTGTTTCGCAATCAACCTCTCCGATAAAAAAACAAAAACAAAAAAAACCTGTTGTATTTAGAATAGGAGGGGTGTTGTGGGAATCCATTATTGTGAGTGGAGTGTGACTACTCATTCACTGAAAGCCCAATAGGAAACACCAGCAGCCGGTGGAGGAAAATTAGCCCAATCCTTTTGGGCTCTGATATATGGCTCACATCTGGGCTGCCGTCCATTGTTTTCAATTACAACTTTAAGCATGGCCTCCTGCGTGCCAAAAAATGCTCCCCCTCTGTTTTTTTTTTCTCCATAACACCCCTTTCGCTATCTCTCCAACCAATTACACAGTGGACAGGTGTCGTGTAGTGCTAACAGATTGGCCAACCCACCTCTGTCTATTTTTCTCGCCGTGCTTCTGGAGCTCTCAGCATAAGCTCCCCGGTGACGGTCACAACAACACGCTCTTTTTCTTTTTCTTCCCCCCCCCCCTCTTTCTCGTTGTCATCTGAGTGACTATGAGACATGAGGGTGAGAAGTTCATCATGCAGTCAGTCATGTCTAATGAACGGTTAGACCCTCTTCCAACACCCGTGATTTTGACAGGGGTTTTGCATGTAATTAGGGAGCAAGAATCGCGAGGTGAATGTAAGTTATAAAAATGCAAGACCCTGCACGGCTTGAAAGCTTTTCAAGTGTTTCTGTATATACTGTACTATACTGTACTGTAAGTTGAATTTGCATTACTAATTTTGACTAATTTTATTATATTACTGTAGGTCTTAATCAAAGTAGATGGCATATTTAAAGACCCCTTGAAATCAGAATGAGAGTTTTAGTTTGTAGCTTTACATTTGTCTGTTTTATTTTCTATTTTATTTTATTTTTAGATATTATTTATTTTATGAATATTTATTCTACACATTTAATTTATTTAACTTACATTTTTATGAATTTCAATGTGCAGAAACTTCTTATTTTCTATTTTACTTTATTTTTGGATTACTTTTGAATTTGGTTATTTAATTTGTAATTCAAAAAAGTGAGAGTTGCGTGGCTTTTAGTTTGTCTGTCTCTTATTTTATTTTATGTTGAGATTTATTTTTATTTTTGAATTGCATAGTTTGTTTTGGATTGATTTTTTTTTTTTTTTTACTTTATTTTTAAATTTCATACATGTAAATATGTAGAAACTTCTTTCTCAGTGTGGTCAGAGTTGCTTACAGGCAGTGCTTTTACCGGGCAAAAGTGAAGCAAGAAAAGTGTAAAAGAAAGTTTGAAATGAATTCTGCAGATTCACGTCTTGTGGACACACTGGATCTCTCTAGTGTGCTTGATACAGTTTCATTTGTGATTCAATTATGATATCAACATCCAGTGTTAAAAGCAATTTTATTTATTTATTTATTTATTCTCTATTTGCATTTAAAAAAGACTTTGAATATTCCCCCAAAACTAGTTTCATACTGAACAGTTCTCGATTTGCAATCTTGCAAGATTTACAAGATGAATGAATAATTTATGCATTTCCTGTTTGCTCTCTGAGTTGACTTAACACAAATCTTTGTGTCTTCAGATAACATAAAGCGCAAGTTGCGGCGGCGACCGATTTGGGGGCGGGGCATCATCAGGAAGAAAAAGAGCTATAAAAAGGAGGAAGCAGAGGAAGATGATGAACTGGAAGAGGAGGAAGGAGCGGACAACTCTGCTGCAGCGGTGCAAGGTGACGCCTGTCTCACCCAGGATGAGTCGTCCTGTGATGCCATGGAGCTCCATCCTGACAAGCAACCACTTCAGGCCAACGGACACGTCCTCTCCACGGAGGAGGAGAATTCCTCTGAGCCGACGGCCACTCGGGACCCTCAGGGCGAGAAAGAGCCCATCAAGGCCCACTTGGAGGAGGCTTCCAGCAGTGAGGAGGCCGAGACGGTCCCCGCTCCTCAAGAGTGTGTGAATGGAAATGAATCTATGGACAGTGTTTACAGTGAGGCTCTTGATAAAGAAACAGAGGTAGACTCTATTAAAAAAGATGCACTTGAGGTGGAGCATAAGGAGCCTTCTGCCCCAGAATGCAATGCAAAGGAGAATGCAACATCAGCGGAGGGGATGGCATCTGATGGCGACCATGAAACAGAAGGTATGGTGTGTTAAGATTTCACAAATACCAAAGTATTAACTAAACATATATTTTCAAGCATTTAAAATGTGAATGCACTCAATTTAGAGATGCAGAACACGGCAATAAGCATAATCATATATAATTCTCTCACGTATTTAAATGTAATAAAATAAATAACTGCCCGAAATAACATTTTAGACTTACCAGATGTGCATAAACATGCAGGACAGATGAATAATTCCTAGTATTGATAGTCAACTGTACGGTTAATCACAGTTTGGAGAAAAATGCTCTGTTTTTGGACTTCAAAACACCATCTGTTTGTGAGCGTTTCTCCTGCCGAGAGTTAAATACACCAACAGAAACACCCTGCGGACTCGTCTCTTTGTGTACGTCTGCAGACGTGCTTGTCCTTCACCAGGTGTTGTCCGTTTCTAGTGTGATGCGTGCGCAGGTTTGTTTTTTCCATAGTGTGACTTTGCTTAATTTTAAAAGGTTCATCAAAAGGGAAGCACAAGTCAAACGAGTCGGCCGTCGGACTCGAGGAGACTGTGGAACTTCCGCCACCTCCGGCTCTCGTGGTTGACCACCAGCGGCTCAAGGTGAGATGAATATTATTATTCTTAAGAACTAAAATGTGTTTTAATACTTTTTTCATGAAATTATAATCCAATGAAAATTATAATATATTTCCACCTCTGAAACCAGTATCATAACCCACATCAAACTTTGGAAGTTGATGCGTTGGAAATGCGTTTTTCTGCTGTTTGTGATTATCTTTAGTAATTGTTCAGAAGTAGCATACATCCATAAGCACATCCCATAAGCTTTCTGCGCACATTAGCGTACTGTAGCTGTGCTGTAATATACCGATCTCAGAAGGAGGGAAATCACTCCAATCATCAAGTCATTTTGGAAGGAAACTCATCAGTGTGGAGGCTGCTTCATCATCATTAGGCTGTTTAGGCCATTTTTGGAGGTATTCATTCACTCTCATTCGCTGAGTCATTCATTTCCATTTAATTATTTGCTATCGAGTTCATCAAATTAGGGAGGCAATCATCGATTTTGTTTCTCCTCTTACGAGCACATTTGAGCTTTAGTTCCACTCTAGATAGCACCAGTGCTTCTTTTAACAAGGTCATCTTCTTCAAAAGGGTGTTTATAGAAGGGAAAACTAGTTTGCATACTACATACTGCACTTCTACACTGTATACAGCCTATTTATTTATTTATTTATTTATAATAGCTATTATTTATGGAACCTTGTTTCCACCACTTAATAAAAAAGGTAATTGTAACTTTTTATCTCACTATTCAGATTTTTTTTCTCAGAATCGTGTGATATCAACTTGCAATTGCGAGACAAAAAGTCAAAATTGTGAGTTTATATCTTGCAATTCATAGAAAAAAGTCAGATTTGCAGCATTCTGAGTTTCTCACAATTCTGAGTTTATATCTTTTTATATCTTTGAGTTTATATCTATATTAAAAGTCAGAATTGAGGGGAAAAAGTCATAGTTGTGAGAAGTTACAATTATCTTTTTTTTTTTTTTTATCCCGTTTATTATTAGATTTTTTAATCTATTATTATTATTAGTTTTGAAATGGTATATGAAACATCATATTAATAATAATTATGTATTTTTACTTATCGTTGTTATTACTGTATATTTTTAATTGGTATATGAAACAGTATCTTAAAGGGGTGGTTCATTGCGATTTCACTTTTTTAACGTTAGTTAGTGTGTAATGTTGCTGTTTGAGCATACACAATATCTGCAAAGTTACGAAGCTGAAAGTTCAGTGCAAACGGAGATATAGTCTTTTAAAATTCTGGCAGTTTAATGCCTACAAAAATGGCTGGTAGGGACTACAACAA